GTCAGATGGCAGTGAAGGAAAACAAAACAAAAGTATTTAAGTGTGGAGGATGTTTGAAGATCATAATTATTGAAACACTTTAACCGACTCTGTAACTCGTTACCCAAGGCAAAAAGTTAAACGCAAACAACTTTATTGGTAAATGTATTGTTTCTACTTTGAAAATACTAATGGGGCCTTAAAATTAAAGAAATTTTCTTTTGAATTTTTTTTTTTCGGCGTTGTCAGTAAAATGAGAATAATTTATTCGCAGTCGAAAAAATTGTTTCCGCGTGTTTTTGGTCAAATATTTCAAGTTAATGTATTCAAACAGTAGGAATTGCTATTTTAGGAACGAAACATTTTCTTATTTAACAACATGGCGGCTTTCACTTTGTTGTTTTGGAGATTAAGATGGAGAAGTTCGAGTAGTCGCATACTGGACTAATAAAGTCGCAGTTCGGCCTTTCAACAGGTAGTATACTAGTCGCAAGATTGCCTAATTTAGTCATCCTAGAGTCTAGCTTGTGCCGCCCTCTATAATATAAATAAACGAGGGAGTGGATAAACTATCGGTAATATATATGTCGATGTATATTTAAATTTAGTTTTATATGTACCTTTCTTTATGTCCCATTTTAATTAAGTTTTTTTTTATAAAAACAAAACAGCACTGAACTGTCTGACTGAACAGAACAATGAAGTGAAAATTTAAAATTTAAGGTTATGGTTCAATACAGTTGCAAAAGGTAGTGACTCGACGTCCTACCAACGTAAGAATAAGGAAATCTAAACAACGTTGGAATTAGTAAAATTTTGGGTCAAAGCGCCCTCCGTGTTTTTAGTGGAGACTACGTTTAAAACAGACGACTTTTGCATAACGTTGGAATAGGTCCTGAAACTGACGTCGGAAAAGTTTTATTGTCCAACGTTGATATATTACGTTGTCCGAATAACCTAAAGATCACTTAAGCAAAAATATTTTACAAGACAACGTTTATTCGACGTCGCAGAAGCTTCCTACTTTGCTGATAGTACTTAGTCCAACGTCGGCTGTCGTAATAAAACGTTTAAATTTATTTTAATAGGCGTAAAGCGAACTATTTTTACATGTAACTAATCCAACGTTGTGCTTAGTAAACATGTTTTCGCAAGTCGAAAAATGACACAGGGATACCTTATCGTCTTTGGAAACACGTACATTTTGCAGTTTTGTTAGTTTCTTTGTAAGATGCAACACAACAAGAAAACACCATTTTTATAGTTAATAAATAATGAAACTATTTCTGACTATGATATTTAAAATTTAGATAGATAGAAAATTAGAAAACAAACGAGTATTTGCAAACGCAGGCCCAAATTCAATAAAAATAAAAAAAATTCCTGCGAAAATCAGGCTTTTTTCACTGAAAAGGTATTTTTTGATTTATCAGCAGTCATTGTCAAGTTGACAATATACAGGGTGTTTTCAAATTAGTCTAAAAAAATTATGATGTGATTCCTCATGTGTTCTTAAAACAATTTTTATATAACCATTGGATCTAAAGTACTTCCTTTCTGATCTACAGGGTGTTAAAATTAAAAAAAATCGATTTTTTTGCTTAACATAAATGGTACACCACTGCTTTTTTAAAGAAAATATATTTTTTTCTTGACTGGCCATCCTTTTTCAACAAAATTGATCTTTTGAGTTTTTCTTGTTCATCAAACGGTTGTCGAGAAAAAAATAAATATACTTATATTTTTTAGATTAATTAGGAAACACCCTGTATATGCATATCACAGGCAACCAAATAAACTAGTAACCTCTAAAAATTATTTTTCCTACCACTAGCGACATACCGTGTTTTTAGTGTGTACTAAATTATTTTATCAAAATTTCACCATATAAGTTTCCAGGCAATGGGTATAACCGAGGGTATAATGCAGTAGCGGCTCGTGGCCATTATTGTGGGGAGGTCAATATCTAAAAATATTGCGTCGATTTTTTTTAAGACGCGCCCTCGGACGCGCCTAAATTTAATTGGTTTCTTACAAGGTACTTGTACGTTTTTTTAAAGGAAAATAAATCTAAAAATAAATATAAATTCTGTTAAAATGAAACCTACCCTTTCATTTTTAAACAGGTGGTCTAGTGTCATTTCACTAAAAATCCAGTCAATGTTCTTTACACAAATTTTCCACGGTAGGATTTAAAATACACATAAATAATAATGTCACAAAAATATAAATGCATATATACACATACACAATTCTAAAAGTCTTATTTCACATTTTTTTATATGTTAAGTGAATGCGGCGTTCTTTCTCTAAACGTTTTTCGAAATTTAAGCAATTTTTTCTTTTAACCGCACGATTTAACAAACTAAACACCATGTTGTCTATTTTAAAATATCTATTCCCGAATCCGTCAACTACAGTTCATCATTTATCCATAACTAGAAAATTATGAATTATTACCTACACAAATTTCGCACTACACGTCAAACTAGATGGGATTTCTTTCGATATTAAAAATTTAAATATTGCTTTATATTGACTCAACCAAATATTATACGCGATAAACGATACAAAAACTTAGGTTGTTTTATAATTTGAGTTTTTAAAAACATTTTCATTTTCATACCCTAGGTATATCTCTACTTTATTCGATAGAAAATGACACTCTGAATAGAATGACATATCATACGTCAACTTTTGACATTGTCGCTTAAAAACAGATCGTATTATAAATTTCAATCCAGGGTGCCACGGCGGTGTTAAAAACACTAAGTTTTAATCAAGGAGCATTGGAAAAATAGTTTTGATCGTCTATTGTTTTTCGTGTCTTGTCTAGGCCGGTTAAAAGATGCACAAATCGTATTTTTAATCATATGTCAATTTTTTTAAATGGAACAAGGGTGACTGATTAGCATATTTCGAAAAAGCATTTTTTATGAATATATTGATACTTGGTATTTCGAGTCAAATTGTCGTTATGAACCGCGTGTTACAATTTCAATTAAACCATATGCGAAAATGTCAAAAGTTGACATATGATATGTCATTCTATTTAGAGTGTCATTTTCTATCGAATAAAGTACAGATATACCTAGGGTGCCATTTAAAAATCAGAAGTTATAGTCGGTTCCGGTGAAACAGGAAGTGACCAAAAACAATGGAATGCGTCAATCAATCCTAATTTATGTCATATACTAAAATACCAAATCTTGTTTTTTTATTAGAAAAAATAAAAAAATTATGGGGTTGAGCCACTTTTGGGACGCAGCCGGTATAATAGACAGTACCGGGTTAAATAAATGTAGTTTTCATTTTATCCACTTCCTAAAAGCTTGCTTTAATGAAACAGATCCCTGTTTTCTCTAATTTACATAATAAGACATCACTTACCAGAAAAAAAAATTACAACAATCATGAAGTTTTTTCTCTTTCCTCGTCGCCGATTTTATTATAACTATAGAATAGATCCTGTTTTGATTAACATTCGGGGTGTAAATGTTTGACTAAAATTAAAAATTAATTTATTAATTTCAAAAATTAAATAGGTAATTTCGATTATATGTATATTAAATTTTTTTCTATAATATGTATTTTATTATTTTTATCGCTTTTGGACGTTTTTTTTCTAAACTTTTATTTAAAAAACCTCTCCTAAATCTTAATAAAATATAAAAAAGTTAAATACGATATATTTTTAATTGAATTATAGCTTCATTAAAATAAAAAATTACCCGGCTATGGTACGGAGAGTTCAGGTGTACTGAGGAACGAAAGACAGTGTTACATTCCAGAGCCATGTAGGTGAAATATTCAAAATGGTTCCAGCAAAAGTTTCCCAATTATGACGGATGATGGCGCTGATCGTCAAGATTTTTGGACAGGGATTTTGCTTACCGACAATACGACCTGAGCTACGACCGGACCAGGACCAATCAGAATGATCAGTCTTTCTTGGACATTTGCCGCGGAGTGTGTTTTAATTTCTGTTGTGATAAGTGTGGTTGTGTTTGCAGTTTGATTTTTCGGTTTTGATATTACCTATGTTAAAATTAATTTTGAAGTATTGTATCACCTGTTTTTATGTATTAGTACTTTTTTTAGTTCAATGATCTGATATGTTATGATTTGTTAATGTTTGTTTAACAATTGTTATACCAAAGAGGTTATACTTAATATATCAATTTGCATAGCCTAACTTTTTTATCAATAAACTTTGTAGATTTTCAGATTATTTAATTCCTTTTGTTTCCGTTTGTAATTTTATTTTTAAGACATATTATGTGATTGTTTCAGATAATATGTTTTAAAAATAAAATTGCAAATAGGGAATAAAAATAATTAAAATAAAAAAGTGTATTTTACAATTCCCCCGGCCCCGCACCCCTTTGGCTAACCTGTAAATGTCAGCTTTGTCGAGAGATAGCGTTACGAAAATGGAACCGAATTATTACAATTAACTTGGGCTTCTTTTTCATTAGTATATTCTTTGTTACATTCCTCGTCAGAGTCGTCAGGGAACGACCGTTACGACGGAGACAACCTATCTATCGCTCGTGTTGCACTCGTTAGAGCCTAAAACAATAACACAACAATAATAAGACATTGTCTGACCGCATCTTCCAGCTATTTATGAATGAGATGCTCAGTCTATATTTTATTTTAAGTCTATGGTTTGTACAAACCGCACCCTTCTATCTTCACTAGTAACGGAGATACCGTATGATTTCAACCAAAATGGGACACCCTGTATATCCTGTGAGACCCTAATACCATTTTATAACAAGAAATAAATAAACTTAAAATAAAACTAACTTTTTGTACTATTATCATTATATTAGTAATATTTACAGACTTTAAAGAAATATAATTAAAACGTTCTTTGTATTGTTGATTTTTTTTTTCACAACTCTAGTTTCAAATATATTTGAATGGCACTTAAATATTAACATCTTTTTATATCTATAATAAAAGAAAATAACATAATTTCTTCTTAGAAATATTTAGTTCAGTTTCATTAAATCATAAAAAATATCTTCATATTTTTATTCATGATTATTAAACATGAACTTTACGTTGTATTTTGAGCATTGAGCAATTTTGATCAGTGTGTACTAGTATTTCCTATTTATTTTATTTATACAATGTGATTTTCTACATTTAGAAATCTAATATACATACATATACTCGTATATATTAATTTAGTTATGTAAAATGCTTATCATATATCTAAAATATCTATATTAAGAAATCCTTAAACGGTAATTTATTAATTTATTTTAAATTAATATCATAATGGTTTGTTTCAATGTCTGTATTACTACTAAAATAAACTAAAATTTATATTCAAGTTGATGAATATACGAATGCTTCTTCACAAATTTTGTAAATCTGCAACAAAAATAAAATATTTAAAAATTTTTCACAAAAAATTACCATCTGGTACTGAATAATCTGTAGTAAAAGCTTGTAAAATTTTATAACAGAGGTATAATTGATATAGCGGGTGCGTCTCAAAAGTGGCCCACCCTTATAACTTTTTTATTTCAGAAAAAAAAACGAGATTTAGTCGGTTATATGTCATAATTTAGCATTGATCGACATATTCAATTGTTTTGGTCACTTCCTGTTTCACCGGAAATGACTACAATTTTTGATTTTTAAATGGCACCTTCGGTATATTTCTAATTTATTCGATAGAAAATTCAACACTCTGAGAAGAATGACATATTCTATGTCAACTTTTGACATTTTCACTTAAAAACAAAATCGTAGTTTTTTCGTCGTTTTTCGTCCTTGGCCGGTTAAAAGTTGCTTAAATCGTATCTCAACTTTTTCATATGGAACAAAAGTGACTCATTAGCATATTTGGAAAAAGCATTTCTTTGCGAATAATTTGGTGTCACACATTTGGTATTTCGAGTCAAGTTGTCATTATAAACCGCATGTTACAATTTCAAATAAGCCATATGCGAAAATGTAAAAAATTGACATATGATATGTCATTCATGAGTGTCAGTTCCTATCGAATAAAGTAAAAAATACCGAGGGTGCCATTTAAATACCAATACTTGCAGTAATTCCTAGATGTAGTACGTAAATCAATCCTAATTTATGTCATATACTAACATACCAATCATTTTTTTATCTCAAAAAATTAAAAAGTTATAGAGATGAGCCACTTTTGAGACGCTCCCGTATAACAAATCAATAGAACTTATTATGTAGCAATGTTATACCTATCTATCTACAATTTTTATCTGCGTTGTCCTCTGCCATTAATTTGAGCGCCTGTCATTATGACAGGTCCAGGTGTCATTCCGCGCGGGTCGTACATGCCTCGAGGTACCTCAGATCTTTCGATTTCATCTCCGGAAAGGTCAAGATCCTGCACCATCTGCATTATTTCTCGTTCTTTTTTTATATCCTCTCGATCTATATCCTAAAAATCAACTTCTTAATTATACCTATTACAAAAATGCTTTGAAAATATATTTTTTCCAGATAATTGAGACCGTTTAAAGTAAGAAACAGTAAAGCTTCATTCAGAACCTCGCAATTAGTGGAATAAATTAGTGGTTTCAATGAGGAAGATGCATATATTTTATTTTTCGCCAGAAACTGTTCAATTTATTAGAATAAATATGTGTAAATGCAAAAAAAAACTTTTTTCTTGAAAGCAGTACCACAACTTTATAAAACGGGCCATTAAAATACTATGGATAACGCAAACGACGCCTCGCGAATTGAAACGATATTCTATTGGTCTGACGTCACCCGCCGTTCTCGTCGACGCGCGATGGCCAGCAGCAGCCAGACGTGTTCCGTTTATGCACGTATTTAGGTGGCGTACTAAGACATTTTTGTTGCTTTTAGCGTTGATTGAAGGAGCTTTTTATGCTTTTTTGTGCAGTTATTATTTGTATGTGTTGTGTGTTCTGAGAATTTTTTAAGTAATGGCAGATTCCGGGTTTGTAAAAGCACAATCAGATAACTTGCCAAAAGTCGATGCTTTTATAAATACAAATTCCCAATTTATTGGTGCTGAATTACGAGGAAAAAAACAGAGAGATATGTAACATTTATTCTTTGTAGTACTGAGGCATATTTAAGTATAAGTAGGTACCTACTGTTACGAACTTTTATATAGTTATAAATTAATGTTATAAACTTATTTTTCAGATCAGGTAGGGAGACGTATGGAGATAATGCTGTAGGTTATGTAGAAGTGAAAAGAGACAAAAATATTTGTTTAGTACGCGGAAAAATAACTCCAGAGAACAGCGTGAAAAAGAAAGTTTTTTTTATATATTGACACCCCCTTACCCATGTTATTTTTAAAGATTGTTTTTTTACGAAATTATAGGAAATAAATTGTTTATCAGTAATGAACATATTATACAAGGTGTCCCATAAGCAAACGCCAAAATTAAGTTACTTTTTTAAGTGAAACACCCTATATATTTTTGGATTCTTCGGAAATTTCTAGATATTCTAGATATATTTCATGTATAATATCCTATAAAAATTCAAATGTTTACGAAATATTGACAGTTGAAAAGCGAAAAATACCTACAATTTTCTGCACCACTTTTTTTGAGTCACCCTGTATAACTAGAATTAATTTTAAAAGAGAGTATATGAAAAACCGTGCAACTTTTTTATTTAATGTTTTCTTCTAAAACTTGCAGTTAAGGCTGTATGTGGGTGTCAAAATATATTGAATAACCCTGTACATTCAAATTTCATATACCTATGTAAGACAATATACATAAATATATGAACTTACATGAAATGATCTTCATAACAATAAATCGTAAAAATAGAGGATAATTTAACGTTTTTCTTTTCATCTCTTCTCATGGCCTTGGACCATTTTTTTCTGTTTTCGCTCATCCATTACTATTTATAAATATCACTAATTACTAATTATGTATTATTAACACAAAACTGTGTAAAATAAAACACGCGTCTGGCTCCACTCAACCAGAAGAACGGCGGGTGACGTCACAGCGGGCAAGGCGCGGTAGAGAGCGTTTGCCCGGCCATTTAAATTAACAATATTTAATTATTTTATATTAGAGGCATTTCTTAACCGATATCAACGATTTATTTTTGTTCATTTTGTAATTATATGAACTATTTTTAAAACCATTATTTAAAAAATATGCATTTTCCTCATTACACTTTATACTTTTTTTAGTTTACGATCATTTACAATGTCTAACAAACACAATTAAAATTAATAGAATATCCTAGCAACAGCTTCCAATAGTCAGTTCATAGAGAAAGCCCAATATTTAGCTATAATATATAAATAATAATATATAATAATAAAATAATAAACTTTTAATGTATAACCAAATTTTGTCTTGACGGATGATAATCAAAGGCCAAAATGACATCTGTCGCAAATTTTGTATTTGCTGATTGCTAGTGAAAGTATAATTACTGAAAAGTTAAATGTTTGTTAACTTTTTCCACTCAATTGAAAATGCCTACCACTAATTTTGCCGTTCTGAATGCAAATGCTAAAATTACAGAACAAACTTCTACGCTAATTGGCACCACTAATTTCGAGGTTATGAATGAAGCTATAGTTTGGATGAATCTTGAGCACAGTCGAGTTTGAGTGACAGACAGTAAATTTTGAGCACAGTTTAATTACTTTATAAATATTAGAAATGTATATTTGGAAATATTATTAATCAGGAAGTAACAAATATGTCAACTCCATATAAAAGTACATTTTGCCTTTTAAATTTATAAAAATACGTAGAACTTCTTATCTACTAATAATTTTGATAAAAAAAACATTTTTTTTGGACCAAACCTTGTGAGATACCTTAATATAACCTTTGAAACCTATATTTTTAATACACTTATTCAATAATAAATTTAGAAGACATTGGAGACTAATTAATATATATATATATATATATATATATATATATATATATATATATATATATATATATATATATATATATATATATATATATATATATATATATATATAATATACTTGATACGATCCAAGTGGCGTCCAAATAAGACGTGCGCAGCGTCCAAATATATTTCATCCAAGTACACTTTGACCGTGTTAACTAAGCTCTTTATCTTTATACTTACATCATGAACTCCATTTGGTATAGGACTGGCAAACTTCAAATTCGCCAAACTTCCATAACTTCGACTTCGGTGTTCTTGCCTGATAGAGTAAGAGAATGCCCTTTCATTAAGGTGGCCTTTTTTCCTATAAATGAAGTTATGTAATATGAATATCAATAATATTTTGTTAGAATTATAAATCTACCTATATATTCCTGTGTTGAATGGACTTTCATCATCTCTTATTAAATTTGGATCATCAAGTCCGTTCATACTTTGGGCTAATTTTTTATTTAGTTTGCTTTGCTTTTCCACAGATCTTTCTCTACTTCTTCGTTGTTTACCTAAAATCAATAACATTGTTGCTAAATAATTGTAATTTACGGATAAGATGCTGATGAATCAGTTACTAAAATAACGGAATTGCTAATGGGGAAAATTGTTTACGATCGATTGTTGATCGATTGATCAACACAACGATTTGTTTCTCAGTCTTGAGTGAACACCGCCTACAAGACTGACTGCAGTAATTTTTAATCATATTCTTGCTGGTATTTTAATTTGTAGCTTTTCCTGGGCCGTATTATAAGTTTTCCTAATTCGGAGGTAGATTTTTGCAAGTAGCATTTAAATGCCCATTCTGAATAAAACAAAATTCTAGGCGAAAGCACAACTTTAATTAACGCCTATTCAAAAAGTCTAATACAACTTTTATACAAAATTATCTGGGGAGATAATATTTAACCTTTTCAAAATTTACAAGGGATTTCCTATGCCCCGTGTTCTCACACGGTATACAGGGTGTTTCAAAATGTGCCATCTCTCGTGGGGAGAGCAGAACAAAGAGAAGGGGTGTAAGAACTATTCCTCACGTAAAAATAAGATTTATTTTTCATATCAACATAGGTCAGATTCTGCTTTGTTTCGTAGCTACAGGGTGTTAAAGTCTTAATAATCTTTGGATTTATTATAACTTTCTTCCAAGTACTTTTAGTAATTCGTGTATTTCGATAGTAAATCGAAAAAATATTAAGATTTCAACACCATGTAGCTACGAAACAAAGCAGAATCGGACCTATGTTGATATGAAAAATAAATCTTATTTTTACGTAAGGAATCTCCTCACGAGAGATGATACATGCTTTTTAAAACACCCTATATATTTTATACTAACCTTGACTTTCCATTGTAGCATAATGTTGCATCAGGTAAGCTTCGTGGGGAAAGTTGACTGGTTGGTAGCTAGCTACAGGACTGAGCGCTCGATTACTGGGCATATAAATCGGTTCCTCCATGGGCACTTGTTTGTGTTTCTTCTTCGATTTGGTTAAAGTTGAAGGCGCGGGTGCTGGTATGATTACTGGTCCTATTGGTACCATGGGAGGTGGTATAGGTCTCGCTGGTATCAGCATCTTGCCTTTCGGCCTATGAGAAAAGGTATTTCCTAAAAGAAAAGACAATAACAATGAATAACTTTTCTGTAAATAAATTGATCGTGGATCGCATATTCAAATCTAGAAAGGTATTGAAATATATGTATAGAAAACATATATGAAGCGAACCAAATTCAAGCCAAAATTAACGCGGTACTGACCAAACCAGTAAAGGTAGGCCGTGGTATCCGACAAGGTTTAGTTAGGTTAGGTTAGGAACCCTCTTCTTTTCAACATCATTATGAACGAAATAATAGGAAATGTACGTTTACTGAAGGGATACAGTATGGGCGACCAGGAAATTACTATTCTGTGCTATGCCGACGACGCCGTATTGGTAGCTGAAAATGAGGACGATCTACAGCTTATTACATCGATTTAACTGCACTGCCAAATCACTTAATATGATAATATCGACCCAGAAAACTAAATGCATGACGACAATAAAAGTACCACTAAGATGCAAACTGGAAGTCGAGGGCAATGCTATCCATCAAGAGATGAAGTTTAAGTATCTAGGCTCAGGATATGGTGATGTAGAAGCGGAGGTGCGAGAACGGACAACGAAGGCAACCAGAATAGCAGGATGCCTGAATGACACGATATGGCGAAATAAAAACATTGAGGTGGAAACTAAAGCGAGAATTTACAAAGCAACGGTACGACCAATAATGACATACACTGCAGAAACTCGACCTGATACAGCGACAACTAAACAACTACTAGAGACAACCGAAATGAGAGTACTACGCAGAATAGCTGGAAAGACGCTTCTGGACAAGGAGAGAAATGAAAGCATAAGAAGAGCATGCAAGGTAAAAAATGTAAATGAGTGTACTCAGCAGAAAGGAAGAATGGAACGAGCATATTAGCAGAATGGACAACAGAAGGATAGTGAGAGTTGCACGCGACAAATCACCGCTAGATCGCAGAAGCTTAGGACGTCCACAAAAACGATGGAACGACAACTTGTGAGACTGACCCTTTGTCTGACCGGTAGAGAAGACGAAACCAAACAGGCGATTCGTTTACTATGAAGAAGGAAGAAGAAGAAGACGAATGTATAGAAAATACTTGAATTTAAACAAAAAAAATATAAAAGTATAAAGAAGAGAGATGACAACAAGTGTCAAATCGAATGGTTTGAATCTTTTCAGATCATTTCAGTAAATGTACGAGCTAAATTTAAACATACTGAGATGAGATGGAGATACATTTTCTAGTGCTTTTTACTTTAACCAAAAAAAAAATTGTTTTTAAGAAACACGAGAAAACTTCTTGTAATAATAAGGCACAATTTTATAGACATTATTTATAACAAAAGTGGTAGTTTACCATGATGTTTGAAAAACTTTGGATTTGGTAAGGTTCCTTGGTACGGTCCTGGCGGTGGTCCTACGATATATACAGGTTGAGGAGGGCCAGGGGGCATGCTCATTTCCCTTAAATCTCTTGGCATGCTATGTCTTGGTTTCATTAAGGTTCCTGAGACGCTACTAGCCTAAAGAACAGATAATAGAGTTTATAAATTGATCAACAAAACCAAAGTTTCAGCTATAATATGAGTTTTTAAATAAATTCAATTACTTCTACTGCTTATTTATTTTTAGCTTCATTTTTTCTTTAATTTAGTTAAAAACATCAAGTTTAACTTGATATTACTAATATACAAATTAATATACCCTGCTGGTGAGGCAAACTATGCGGTCTGGATTTTAATGCCTGTGACAGAGAATAAAATATAAATAACCGGTTGACAGACAGAGAGACAAAATCGAAAACGACATACAGTGTTGCCGGTTTTTTTACATTTGTAGGAAAATGTGTGTAGAAAAATATAAGCTATTTTAAAAACTTTCATGTATACTACTGAAATGAAGATAATATACCTAAGCAATATACAGACCGGACCACCGTAGTAGTAACATAGGCAGAACCGGACCAATTAGCGTAAACCCGTCGGCCGAATAAAAGCAGGCGAAAAAATGCGATAAAATAAAAATAGGTAGATATGTGATAAGAATGTTTCATAATTTATATTTATTCGTGTTTTAATAGCCAAAACGAATACATAGATTCTCGCGACAGTTCTTGTGTAAAATTTATATTTTAAGTAAAATAATGGATGTTTACGAAGTTCGTGAGAAAATTCAAATTGTAAAATGGTATTTCCAAACTAGGTCTTATCGGGATATACAAACAATTTTTCCACAAACTTTTGTAAACAGGGCAATTCTATCTTTGCCTACTATATCAAGAGTTATTAATAATTTTGAAACACATGGGTGCGTGTCCCCACAAAAACACATGAAGCCTGATGTGTTGATTAATGAAGAACAGGAGTTAAAGCAAGTGTTTAACCGTTCAATTAGTGGATATGGAACTATTTTGTGGCCCGCTAGATCACCAGATCTTTCTCCCAATGATTTCTTTTTGTGGGGTTATGTAAAACCCAAAGTGTATGGTCATAATAGGGCTAATAATCTGGATGAGCTTCAAGTAAAAATACGAGAGGCTTTCCAAACTATTAGCCCTAATATGTTAGCCAATGCCAGACGGGGATTTTACGACCGCCTAGGCTTCTCTCTAGCACAAGAAGGTGGTCTTTTTCAACACTTGTTATAACTTTTTTTTTTATTTAGAGTAATATTTTAGTTTTTTTTGGGTTTAGAGAATTTATTTATTTTTAGTTTTGGCTTGTAAACACACTCAAATAATAAAGATTTAAGTATTTTTATTTTAAATGTTACCTTAAGTGAAGGTAAACACTTAAAATGAAAATAATAAATACTCGGGACTCCTCGCGTCGTATTCCTAGTCTGTCACGATCGACCCGTCCAAGCACAACTGCAACTACATACTGTCTGACTAGCCGACTAGCCGGCAGTGAATCTCGAGTACGAACACAAATTGGGTAAACGTAAATTCGTCCGGCAACTTGCTATGTTACTAGTAGCCTGGTCTTCTCTGTATAATCTATTACAGCTGTAGTAAAATGAGTAAATAAGAGTGAAAAATAAAGTTTCAACCCTAGATGCAAGATTTTTCTTAAACGTTTAGTTGCGCGGTTTGAAATTTTGATGCAAAATCCGGCAATACCGCATAGAAGAAACGTATTGACCCAATGCTTATCTCTTTTTAATACATTGTTTGATTTTCCACTGAGCTGTCTACATCACTGTCTTACACGTTAAAATCCAGACCGCACAGTTTCGATGACCAAATCGGTACCTCTATCTGTAATCCAAATGTTTACTATCCTATCCACTGCGCCACTAATATTATAAAATTGTATATCGATACGTTTATGATCGTAAATTTCAAAACTAAATATGAAGCATGTCTTTTTGGTATCAAAATAAGTTCATTGGACATAATTTACATTTACAAAATATACAAGAGTGGTTCATTTATTCGTTAGATGGCATCAAACTTTAAAAAATTAAACACATTTTTTTAAGATATTATTAAAACCCTTATTTCGATTTGAATGGGATTTGGTGTGCTGTGTTTTGCTACCGCATTTTTCCTCTTTTTTTTCTTGTAAATTTAATTTACTAATTACATATGGTGTCATATTATCAAGATGTTGTGTTTTATAATTTAAATTTAAACACAAATTTCGTGTATAAAAAAAACGCATATCAGCAGATTTCTTATCTAAATATCTATAAGCAGTTTAAGAGTGAGTAATTAAATAGTTATTAATATCTTACTTTTCCATTCATAATAGGATGGTACAAATCTTCCCTCGATCCTGCCAGTGACTTTGACAGACCTTTACTCTTCTTCTTCTTCTCTTTGATTGGTGGCGGAGGTACAGATACAGGTTGCGCGATTTGTCGAGGTCTAGAAGGCCGGCTTAACGTAGATGAAGGTGCGTATACGTCATAAATGCCGTCTAGATTGTCTTGACTACCTGCCCAAACCTACAAACAAGAAAGTCTTCAGAATTTATTTTGTGGATAACAACAAAACTTCTACTAATTTTTTTCAAACGTCAAAAAGTATTAATTTTGCGACGTGATTCGCAATATAAAAACGTTATTTTAACGCCTAGGCATAAAAGTTTACGCCTAAGCACAAAAGTACGAAAATATATTATTAACAAATTATTAAACTGATACAAACAAATTCAACGAGCGTAACCATAGTTTCTCGATTTATAATGACTTACAAAGTAATACTTTTAAATATTTTTATATAATTTGCAACGTTTGGAATTGTTTAAAAACTTATTTGTGACGTTTGACAAAAATAGCATGTTCTATTCGGAGTAAAAATTCGCCTGTAATGTCAAACGTACAGCCTCGCCATAAAAGTGTCATTTTACTCCTAATAAAACAATAATAACAAATAACACTAAATATCACCTTTTTAAACAGCTTTTATAATAGACCTGATCATCAAAGTTAGATTATCCATTTACACAATGTCTTCAAACAGGTTTACAATTTTTTGGGCTGTGATTATTTTTAATGATAAAACGTTCAAGATAAAATATTGGAGAATATTTAATGGGCATTAACGATTTAAGTACCCACCTTGTGGTTCTCGTCGCCATTGTATATGCTAATGTCATCTTTACCGTTGGTTATGGTGTTTATGGTCATGGTAGAACCGGACTGGGAACGACTCATCTTCCATTCTTCTATCTAAAAAACGTCGAAAGTTGGTTAACCATGATTAAATTTTTAAAATAGTCAAATTTTAACGTAAATATTTTAAATCGGTGATAATATAATATTATTTACAGCTGAGAGAAATAAATTAATTCAAAAAAATGTTTAACACTTTTTTATTTATTAACACTTTCTTATTAAAAAACAAAATATGTTTAACACTTTTTTATTTAATAATAAAATTTACCGGTAAGGAGATTATTCTCTACTGAATTTAAACCTTAAAAATCTACGAATTTTGAATTGCACAGAAGATGATTCTGTTGAATAATAAAGAGAAAAGTTAGTTTACAGTGAAGTTAAATGCGAGTTTGAGAAAGGAAGATGAATAAAAAGTCTTACAGTTGGCCAGATACGAGGGTTGCCTTTCAAGTTTTTCAATCGCTTGATTCTTCACTTGTATTGGGCACGTCGCAATCATTCATTAGAGGATTGAAGAATTGTTAATGCCGAATGGTATACAACAATTTGTTTGCCAACGATCTTCGATGAAATAAGGAAAAAGAACAAAAAACGTCGCATCATTCTTCATCACGAATATGCCAGCTAGCTCCCACAAAGCACGTCAAACAACTGAGTATTTGAAGGAGAAAAAAATCGAATTAATGTCATATTGCCTATAGTGACTTTTCCTTGTTCCCCACTGTCAAACAAAAAATGCGCGGACAGCGGTTTTCACCACCTGAAAAAGCCGTTGAAGACTTTCAAAACAATGTTTCTACGATATAAGCTTCAGAGTTGAAAAATGTTTCTAGAGTTGGTTTCAGCGTATCCAAAAATGTATAGATCATAAGAGCGAATATTTCGAAAGCAATAAAACACTTTGTTTCGAACTTGTTCGTTTCTGTTTTACTTTTTGTAAAAACTTAAAAGGCAACACTCGTAGAAGAGTCAAAAATCTTTTTATTTTTATAATATCTGCCAATAATAATGACATGGTTAGTATTATCATTGATAATGCTAACTTAGCTAGCACCATTAGAGTCTAACCATCAATTGAAGTTGGTCAAAGATTGCCTAGAGAAACTGAGTAAATTAGGCAAAGAAAACAAAGTCCTCTTAGTCTGGGTACCAGCTTACAAAGAGATAGAAGGTAATGAAAAAGAAAACGATCTAATTAGAAAAGGAGCGAACACTCCCCCTAGCTGGACCAGAACCGTTCTGCTTCCCAAGTGGAAACTTCATAAAGAACTCAAGAACCTTGGAGGATTACATCCGGAACCTGCAATGGGAATCCTTCAAAGGTCTAAGACACTCGAAGAAATTTCTCATGACTTACCTTAAGTAAGAACAATGTTCAATTGTTGATGCTAAGAAACAACTGCGAATGCAGATTCTGTGGGGAAAATGGGGAAACACCAGAACCTCATAGAGTACGCCGAGACGACAACCATTCGTGTCATAAACTTTGGTACGTCTAATATAGGAGACGGAGAACTAACCTCTGTAAAACCGTCCCAGATACCGGCTTTCGTCAAAGTTTTTAAGATGAGTTATAACTCATGAAAGGGGGGGGGGCAAAATATATCTGTAAGGTCGCTGTTATTAACCTTCCCTCCTCCGATAAAATCTACGATCTAAAATCTAATATAATCTATATTGTTTTTTTAATATTTTAGGAGATATGCTTCCGGAATTACATATTTCTTCTTATTTCTTGTAGATTTATTAAAGTATCTAATTTACGTTCATTAATACACATCAAAGAAGCCAAAACTAGAAATATTTAAAATCCGGAAATAATGTAGATTTAACAATCTTCTCCTCCAATATTAGAACCCAAGCTGCTTAAGTAAAGATTCAAGATTCTCACAAAAAATAGTCATTTGTTGGCTAGACTAGATAACTCCAAACACCAATTACCGGTTCTGAAACAATATTATTTTAAGACAGCTACGTGCGACCAAATTAAACAATACCGTGCTTGGTAGTTTGTTTTAACAATGAACAAACAGATGTCGAAAATAACGCGAACACCAGTTATTATGACAGTTTACTAACCTTATCTTTGTTAGTCAGCCTTTCGGATGCCAGGGTGCCGTAAATACTTCCCGCCGTGTCAACTTGCTTCGCATAACTAGAATCGGCGTAGGCATGAAAACAACACCTAACCTAAAAAAAGAAATAAAAAAACTTTTGTTAATGAGTCTGCCATTTTCATCCAATTTAAGGGTTGAGGCAAAGTTCTAAAGAGCTGAATGCTTACATTGACTAAATTTGACTATCAACTTTCATTGAATCTGATTAAATTGAATGTGTTTTTTTTAATATTAATTTCTTTATATCTTAATTAACTGTTGGGAAAAATTATTGAGATAAAATTAGTTATTTTTTATACAAGACGATAAAATGGTATTTTATCGTCTACGAGCGATGAAATCGCGAGTGAATTAATTTCGGCAGACGATAATGCAATTTTATCGTCGTGTATAAAACAATATTTTTTTCCTTATCGAGTTACGTTTTAAAAAATATTCAGAAATTATTATCTCAAGGAATTTATTACGAGTAGAAAAAATGTTGTGCTGGGTTGGCGTTGGTTTCTATGTAATTTGACAAATAAATAAAGCTGTCTCTTTAGTTGTCAGTTTTGAGTCAATATTTTTTAATTCTCTTTCGTGTCTATTGCTGACTGAATTGGAGCCAGAAATGACTCAAAATGAAATAAGTAAATTACCAACAGATATTCAGGCTGAGGTGACAAACGCCATATCCAAACTACTTCCATTTAAATCCCGAATAACTTATGACAAGGAATACAAAAATTTTCAAAAATGGACGCTATTAAAAAACGTGCAAGAAGAAATAAAGTTTCTAACCTATCCTCGCTGTTAAAGTATCACTATACTATTTTTGATAGATATAAGGCAATTTTAACAGTTGCTATGGACAAAAAGTAGTAAACAAGTGGTATATTTAGTTAAGAACAGTTAACTAAAACAGTTCAAACATACTAATGATACTAACACGGTTAACAAATGTTATGCATGTTGCATGTTATGAATGTCTCCAGTTTTAATATTTAAGGAGAAACTGTCTGCAAACTGAAGTACTGAAAACATTTTTAAGTAAGACACAAAAGTTCGTTACCTTTGTGTCTTAGTGAAGGCAGTGAAGGCAGATTAAATGGATAAACAAGATCCATCAATTCAATTCATAGGTCCAGAACCTTTCTGCAAAAGCAATTTCAAAAATGGCCAAAAAATATCTAAAACGGTGGAAATATTCGCCAGGAAAAAGGAAGGCTAATCAGTTCATAGTAGAGAAGAACATTTACCAAAATTTATGGCAGACGTGATAGAAAAAAACAGAAAGATTCTCAAAACCCTGGTACGTATACTAAGACATTGCAAGCTCAAAATACATTTGAGGCTGATGGGATCAACACATGAAGTTATGTACAAATTATGTTAATCAGAAAAAGAAAAAAATATATATTATTTATTATTATATTAGTTGATTCCATTGTACTAGACAATGATAATAGATTTTTGAACGTATCGGTCCTTGAAAAAGCTAACTGCGACAGTATTGAAGTCGTAATTACAAAATTCCGCTTAAGATGGGCTGGTCATGTATGCAGAATGCAAGAAAACTGCATAACAAAATATCTGCTTTATGGTGAGCTTAAGAAGAGGCCAGGTGGACAACTCCAAAGGTACAAGGATATTTTCCACGAAAACTTAAAGGGGATTAACATGCAGAATGAGTAGGATGAAGCAGCTCAGAGTAGAACGCAATGAAGAAGAATTGTAAAGTCAGTTAACAGCGGCAACCAAAAAGTAAAGAGGCAACAAAGCAATGAGATTTTTGAATGTCCGGAGTGCGATAGAGAGATATTCAGTCACAGAAAAGCTCATGAAAGAAAACGCCTTGCATGACCATCTTCTGATGCGTGTCAAATATTCCTCAGCGAGTAATGGCAGTATAGTATAATATAGTTGGTACAGAAAAGGAAACGACAATTTTTGAAAACCTATAGGTAGAAGATAAATAAAAGAGTATTTACTGGTTGTCTTCAGTAATATTTCACAGGCAAGTAGGTCTTCATGTGTGTGGTATTGATGTTGGAGTCACCTTCTCTAAAGTTGTGTCAAATACTCGTCAGCGAGTAATGGCGGTATATAGATTTTTTGACAAAATATTATATTTTAAATTTTAAAAAGTTTGAGAGAACTGAAACTGCTTCAAAGGTATTGAAATTATTTTGGCGAAAGTCCTGTTAAACTACAATTCAAGTATAACGGTTTAACTTACTAAAGCATTTGCCGCTACCTCCCTCTTACAGATGAAGGCGTGGCACTCCAGAACCTTAATTCCCGTCGTCCTTCTCAAAATGGCGGCGAATAGGGGAGGATGCGTCGGATTGGGGGCTCTGGCAAATGGCGAATCCAGGGGGAGAAATTTCGGCGATGGCGAATGAAGGGTATTTTTTTCTGGGACTAGAACATACCTGCAAAAAGAAGAAAAAACGTAAAGTTGAGTTTTAATCATTTGCTGATAAAGCTAATATAGTTAGAAAAATATATATTCATTACAGTCAATACATTCACAATTGTTTTCATAACTGACAACTTCTTATTTTCGTCTAGCTGTCTCTCCGTCTGAGAACTCCATTCGGGTACCTCTATCCAGGTACCAAGTTTGCTTCCAATCGACCCATAATTAAGAAAAATCCTGATGATTTCATCCATTTATAGGGATCGGTTCGAAACGTCGCGTGCGTCATCCTGTAGCCCGTCGCCAATTATGCCAAAATCGACCCACATTTTTCTTCAATATCAAATTCTTAGTCCTACCCTGATGAAGATATAAACAAAACGTATCGACTAAAGACGACGTATTAACTTTTGACGTTTCTTAAGTCAAAACTAACTGTCACAGTGACTCATGTCTTAAACGGTAAAGTTGGCGTTGGTCCAATCTATCTACATAGCAAATTTCATTTAAATCGGACGGTTTTTTTATTTGATGCATTGATGATGGGGTTTCGTAGGGCACGAAACGTCGTCAAAATATCATGAAAAGATGGGGCTCTTCGAGCACCATCTACATTCCGAGTTACGACGCTACAAGATCAAAAAATCAACGTTACCACTTATCCTCTCGCGTCTCGTGTGTCACAGCCTTCAAATTTTACTCCCATTGCGCGTAAAGAAAGTTTTACTTCAGTATCTGAATAATTCAGCTAAAATGTGGGCTAGCCCCTAGCATATTTCTGTAATATAAAGCCTAGATTTTTTTACTATACACTATTTTACCCAAAGACAGAAATTTTGCAATATGAAACTTAAAACATTCTATAACAAATTATACAGCAGACGCTAATAATGATGATGAATATTCTCATGTACACTTTAACCGGTAATTTTATTGCATAGCAAAAAAGTTTTTATTATTTAAAAATAACAGGAGAATGTTAATTACGAAACCCGTGTAAAATAATTACTAGGAACATCTTTTTAATAGCTATAATCAATGATATGCACTTTATAATTCAATATCTTCCTTTTACTTTTTTTTTAGCTGATTGATTGTCGATGCAGATAGGAATCATCGTTTGGTAATTTTGCATCTTTGATGGTAGATTTATTATTGTTTTGCTGTATCTTCCGTGTCTTCTAAAGTCAAGTTTAATTGAATTACATTGTATTAAATTAGCTATTCAGTAATGAAATTAGAAGATTTCTTATTTTAAGAAAAGGACTTGTAATTACATTTAAAAAACAAAGAGTTTAATCTAGGCATATTGCTAAAAAAATAAATCCTGGACATCTTAGAGAACTAAGTAAATATACAGTATGTCCCCAGATTGTCTTTACAAGAGGAAACACTTTTTTATTATTGACATTTTAAGAATAACGCATTTTTAACAAAAATTTTTGCTTGTTCTAAAATGGTTTAATCTAGTTTATACTTTTCCAAATTTCCATACTGTTTGGTTTGGTTGTTATTATTAGAAAAAAACATGATAATATGATTGAATTTTTCTCTAAGTCCTAAAAATAAAAATGCGTTTTTATAGTAATATAGTTTCGCTTTCATTCTTTGATCACAAAACATCCCCCTTTTTTTTCATTTTCTGTAATGGCAATGACTGGAAGTAAAAGCTTTACTGTCCGAACAAACACTAGAGGCGCAGGCGTTGCTATTCATTAAAAAATTAACAATTATTCATTTGTTTTTCAAATATTTTTATTTCGTTCTGTTTGGTGAATATTCAGTATGTGATTTTGGTAATTTCCTCCATTGTTATTACTCAAATTATTTTAACAAAATGGAACACCTAGTATATTATTCCAATATTCAATGGAGAATTCATGTCTCTTCAAAATACTATTCAGGTTGCCTACCCCTCTAACAAAGATTTTCCTAGATATTTTCATTTACATGATTTGATCTGGGTAGATCTTTATTATTTGATAAAATCTAGGGTGGCTATGCTCTGACGTTACTTCAACATAGCTGTCTAATTAGTCCATTAGTCATGTCAAAAAATTCTCAGAAATTTGCCGAAAATGCAAACTTATCCTACATCAGAAAGAATTGATATGATTCAATTAGTTGGTGAATGCAGTGTACTAATTAACAGAATACTTGAATGCTCCTGAGTTTATCTAGTTTTTTATGGGGATATGTTAAAGACAGTGTTTAAAAAACTCGACCAACTATTGTCGACAACATAAAAAATAATTATTGTAGCTGCTTTTCGAGGTAGAACTCCATCTTAAAATGAAAAGATCCTTTTGAAAAGACAATCATTTTATGCAGTTAACAGGAAAGGAAGCATTTTGAGCAATTGATTTCATCTAGCTAATTTTTGTCACATAATAATTATAGGTTTATATCTAGTTTTAATTGTGTAATAATAATTAAAATATATTTTAAACGTGTATCTTTTTATTACCATTGAGTATTTTACTCTACAACCTTTATTTTTTTTTTATTTTTGTTAAATTAACAAAAGGTATAAAACAGCCACCTACATTTTTTCAAATAATAAAGATCTACTAACACAAAATAATAAAAATTAAAATATCTAGGAAAATCTTTGTCTGAAGGGTAGGCAATCTTAATAATATTTTGAAGATATCTAAATTCCCCATTGAAAACCGGAATAATATACTGGGTGTTCCATTTGAAATAAAGAAGTAACTTGCTTTTAAAAGTGACTAATGTTCCATATTAATTTTGTCTCACCCTGTATAACTTTTCTGGTCAAATTTCAATTTAATTTAGCATACAACGGTTACTGTAATTAAATATCAGGCTATACAAGGTCAACTAAAATTTAGGTAGCTGTTATCGATATTTAAAATTAACTTTTAATTTTCACAAGATGTGAGTTATGTCAAAATCCTTAGATTTTAGGTACCTATATGCTTCTTTAATAAAACTCACTTTTATTTTTTTCCTAGAATCAATTAATATATAGGGTGTTCCATTAGAAAAAACACTTTAATGTATAACTTTATTTATTTAGGGACACCCTGTATTTTTATTTAGGGACACCCTGTATGATTCTATATATTTGTTTAAAATGCTTTCAGTTAGCCTACATATGCTGCCAAAATTTCATTTCGATATAAACTACCGTTCTCCTTAGAGCTTCCGCGGCGTATGAAAAGCGCCACCCTGTATATAACACATTAAATTTGACGAAAAGTTTTTCTGTCTGCGTTTTTTTGCATCTGAGTACAGAATAATCAATTAATATAATTTAAAGTTTAATATTTTAAATTTTAACTACAAAATTACGAGTAATCAGCGCGAAACCAAAGCCATACTCAAATAATGCACTTTTTCAGAAACTGTTAATATCCACTTCATTATCGTCCGAATGCAACCCGTACACTCGTAATCATCTTATAATTAAATCAATGGTGCAAAATTAATCGAGCCGACCTTCTCCATGCAACCAGACCGATGCCGATGCCGCTGATGGATTCACCGTTGTTGTTGTTGCTGGTGCTCCTGCAAATATTTTTTTCTGCAGCAATTACGAGTTTCCTGCTAGTAATGACGGTTCTCACGAAAGACGCCAGACAGAAGAAACTGATTATAAACGGGGCAGGATTGTATTCGAGTCGATTTAGTAAAATTGGGGCTTGGGTTTGATTGATGCTTGTGATGTAAATCGACAAAAAGGGGTTTTCAAATATATCTTTCTTATGTAGCAATATAGTAATTAACTAGAACATATAAGTATGTAGTATTAGTATTATAGTAGTATTTATATAGTATCTATACACTCCTGAGAAAGATTCCTACACAGAGTCCGAGTGAAAACAGAAAAAAAACCATCTCTTGTATGAAAACAAACGATACGACTGATAAGGTGGGGATAGAGGACGATACAGGTTGAATTTATATCGCATGTGTCACTATATGGATAGAGTTTTTAGATAGAGCAATAGACTATTTTAGCAACAGATTAACATCTCGTTTTACTACTTTTTTATTCTAAATCAAATACGCGGAAAACTGTGATTCGGAGCAGCTACTTAAAAGCCAAAGTAGCTGCTCAATTTCGGCATAGAAAACTTATTCATACCAAAAGTAAGTATGTGCTCATTTTTTTAGCATCTACTCCGAGTTTTGTTGAGCACTTGCTATGAGCATGTACTCAATTTTTATTAATACCACCCCATATCTGCTAGAGTAACTGCCTAATAGACAATAATATAATCATAGATAAAAGAAAATAATCTTCTATTAAGATAGATATGAAACTTAATAGTAAAATTTTGGGCCAAAGCGCCCCTCCGTGTTCTTAGTAGAGACTACGTTTAACCCAGCGCCTTCGCCTTTTCTGCTGTAAATATTTTTTATGTTTATATTTGATTTTAAAGGATTTAGTTTTAAAGTTACACTGATATATTAGTATATCAGAGTAACTTTAATAAAACATAAGAATATATATATTTTACAGTTTATTAAATATAAATTTTGACTACAAGGTAGAAAGTAAATCACAATATTTGATAAAAGTTATAAGTATACCATTTTTACAGTTAATAAATAATAAAACTATTTCTGACTATGATATTTAAAATTTAGATAGATAGAATAGTAAAAAACATACCGGTATTTGCAGACGCAGGCCCAAATTAAATAAAAACCAATTTCTTTTCTGTGAAATTCGGGCTTTTTTCACAGAAAAAGTATTTTTTGATTTATCAACAATCATTGTCAAGTTGACAATATACAGGGCGTTTTCTAATTAGTCTAAAAAATTGTGGTGTGATTCCTCATGTGTTCTATAAACAATTTTTATACCATTGGTCCTAAAGTACTTCCTTTCTGATCTACAGGGTGTTAAAAATTAAAAAAATCGATATTTTGCTTAAAATAAATGGTGCACTACTGCTTTTTTAAAGAAAATATATTTTTTTCTTGACTGGCCATCCTTTTTCAACAAAATTGATCTTTTGAGTTTTTCTTGTTCATCAA